AGAGAAAGAGAGGGAAAGATAGGGAAAGAGAGAGAAAGAGACAGACAGACTTATACTAATCTCTGTAATTGTATTTGAAGAATATTATGCCCAGATTTGCTTTTAGATCATGAAACTTTTAACGAGTATCCTGGTAATAAGTTCTTAGAAAATAATCTTGGTTGTATCTTTGGACATGTTTCAAATACACGAAATCATTCAACATCAATTAATTCATCTGATATGGTGATTTTCTCGTCAGTGCTTTCAAGCGAGCAATTCGCCAAAAGCCAATGGTTATCCAATCCTCCATGGGGCAGGAACAATATTTTTGCTTTTTCAATCGCTTAATGTGTAGAATCCACTTCCATGAATGAGTGGCCACGTTTTAATTTGTTATATCATCTAAAGATCTGTATTCTGAACTAAATACAATAAAAGTGCAGCAAAATGTTTCGCTTCTGACTATCGCACATATCGTAAAATAGTTACCATCTCTGGAAGACTTATCAGATATTTAAGAAAACATGAGCCAATTTCAGAGTTACCTCTTTTTCCATTTATTTCAATCCATGAAAAGACATAATCAGTATTTGACGGAACTGATTCATTAATTGTTAAGTTATAAACACGAAGTTTATAGTAAATCTGGCTGAAATCTGAAGAAGGTATTTGTTGTATCGACTGCAGGTCGAATGTGACTGAAACGAAATAACCATTACTGATTGTTTTCTCTTTATCCTTGGCTTTGCTATGTTGCAGTCGTCTTTTCTTTTCATGAGAACAGCATAATTTTCATCAGCTTCAGATGTTTCAATTCTTTTTGCACTTTCGTGTGTTATGCGTTGTATAGGTCTTCCTTATTTATTTATTTTACGTCAAAAAAGTTAAATATTGTGTGTGACTTTTGAATTCTGTGCACGTTTTCATAATTCTGCATTCCCTACCCTAAGCCTACTACTTGAATTTTGAATACGGAAATAAATGAACGTTTTTTTGCAAGGATTTATATCAAAATATTGGCTCCGATGTAATAAAATATATTTTCAAAGGTAAATCAGCTGTACGTTAGGAGGTTATCCTTCATGTTGTTTGTGAAGGAAGAATACTTCTTGCCGCGACATGGAGAACGATAATTTGCATAACTGTATTTCCCACATCTATTTCCTTCATCTTCACACTTGCTGTTACATAACTTCTACATTTTACTTATACTCAGTTTTCAACCAAATATTTTCTCTGTGTAAACTTTCGTGAATTCTGAGAGTTTACCGTTGTGAAACTTTCTATATGACGTTTTATATCTTCAGTTTTATTGGGTTGTGTTTTATTTGTTGCTGGTTGCTTTTATCTCTCTTCGCTAGTAAAGACTCTTTTCTTCTCTTTACGTCTGAAAGAAGTTTCACCTGAATAGTTTTCTATGCATAGCGTTTTAAGAAAAAATACTGGCAAATTTTCTTTTTGGTTTCATTTGATTCGGAAAAACATATTTTCTGGAATTTTTATTTATATTCACATTCGGAGTAACGGGTTTTTCAAAAGCATTCACTTTTAATATCAAGAAATATTCTCAAGGAGAACACGCTAAGTGCTTGGGATGGTTTTTCCTGTTAATAATGTCAACTGTGGAGTTAGTTAATTTCTCCCATTTATATCTGAAGACTGAATAGAGATATTACTAACCGGATTCTCCAGATTGTAGAGCAAATAATTCTGTATATACTTGTAGAAGTCACAAATAGTGATTTTCGCTTAAAATTGGACTTTGCAAGTTTGCTATTTTTGGAGGACAGTGCCCCCCCCCCACTGTTTCCAACTGGTGACCTTGAAGACACTACACTTAAATCGAACTGTATGTATTTCTTCTTCCGTTTCTATTGACTTATGTTTTGGAAGACCAATGTTGTTTTTTTGTTGTTTTTTATTATTGTAATTTTATTTTTGTAGACATTACATTGTTCAGTAACTGTGCAAATGTTTGATGGTTTTAATCTATCTTATACTAACTTACATTAACCTAAAATTAGACATTAGAATTATATAAAAATAATATTTAAAAAAATATAGTGGGGGAGGAAGCAGGAAGCACCTCAGGTAAGTATTATTCCAGGTTCGCGAACATTTTATAAAATGAATGGGGGGGATGTCTGTTGTTAATCCTCATTTGATAATTGGGGGTTTTGCCTAGTTTATAGAAGGATGATGCTTGAATTAGGGGGAGGTTAGTGTAAAAATTGAGTGCGAGGTAGGCTATTTAGTTTTTTTATTGTGTTTATATTTAAATCATGCAATTGATTGTTTCTGATGAACCATGGTGCTTTTGTCATTAATCTTCAGAATTTATTTTGGATCTCTCTCTTCTCTCTATCTATCTATCTATCTCTTTCTTATAATTATTAAGCACCTATAAATTGCCTTATTGTGTAAGAGACTCGGCATGAAAACAGTGAAGGAGAGGTTCGTTGCGCTCAACAGAAAGACGCAATCTGCCCTCAGCTCGTGTTGCAGCGCGCCCTCGCCCTTTCGCCCAGTATACTCCAGCGCCAATCTCTGCCTGCTGGCGTCGCCTTCCGTCCGCAACAATACTGCCCCAGTTCTTCCGTTGCGACCCTGCGCTCAATTTGATTACTCTGCATCCTTATGCTATCTCACAGGCAATTTTTCTAACTACAATGCGAGCTGCGCCGCCAGGATTCATACCCCTGCGAAATGGACCGCAGCACAAGAATAATTCTGTTAAATCTCAAACTTGCGCACTAATTATACTTTTTCGATTGTTTAAATTCTCATTCGTTTTTATATTGCCTTTTGCCATTCTCTTACGTCAAAGACCTCCGATACCTTATCACACTTGCTTACATTATACTTATATTCGTAAATTAACCAAGTGTCCGTGTATTTGTATTGTGTTCATCAATATATATATATATATATATATATA